TAAAAGAAAGCAGGAGAGGGCCTCTGTAAGGGAGTGTAGTGATAGAACATCGAGTAATGTTTTTAAACTAAAAAAGAGTAGGGTTAGATTAGATATTAGGAAAAAAAATCTTTACTCAGACGGTGGTGAGGCACTGGATCAGGTTGCCTAAAGAAGTTGTGGATACCCCCTCCCTGGAAGTCTCCATGGCCATGCTGCATGGAGCTTTTAGCAACCTGGTCTAGTGGAGGTGTCCCTGCTCATGGCAGGGGGTTGGAATTAGATTATCTTTAAGGTTCCTTCCAACCCAAAGTATTCTATGATTTTATGATTCTATGTATTTCTCAGAAAAATCTGACTTGCTCAACAGGAATCAGTATCTAGATAGTGCACGGATGTCTTAAGTCTAATAAAGTTACTATCTGTATTTCCAACTGCAGTACTACCCTGGGCTAATTTTGGAGTGTGTTTTTTTGTTCTGTTTTGTTTTTGTTTGTTTGTGTGTTGTTGTTGTTGTTTGTTTCTGTTGTTGTGTGTGTGTGTTTTGTTGTTGTTGTTGTTTGGTTGGTTGGTTGGTTTGTTTTGTGTATGGTGCTTTTAGAGGGAAAGTTAGATGCACTCAATATTTAATGATTTCATTTATTTTCCAACATGTGCTTTCCACTATCATATCTACATTAACTAGGTTGATACTGGTTAGGAAAGGAAAGTGAGGCCCTTATTTGCAAAACCCATGGTATTTTTTGCTCTAAGATATTTTGTTACCATAGCAGAATGTTTATGCAGGCTGCTGATGTGATAGGGATCCCAGAGATACCAACAACATTCAGAATGCTTTTAGGACCTCTGTAATATGTCCTCTCATTTGAGGAGTGAGAAATAGAACTGATGGTACACTGCACATTCAGAGTCCACCTTACAGTACATTAATTTCCTTGTGCAAATGAGCCTTTAATTTCTCCTTAATTTTCAACCCCTTGTAGCCTGCAGATGAATGACACCACCAACTAACAAAACATTCTAAATTAAGAAACATAGCTGCCTTTGCATTGTCACTAAGAAAAAATATCACCCTTATTTTCAGACAAGATGGAATAGCAGATAATGTTGCTCAAATGGGACTATGGCACTTGTCTTGTATTTAGGAGTTTAAGTCATTAAATTATGCCATGTCAAGTAGCATAAATATGACAACCATGCTAATTAATAACTTCGTTTTCTTTTTCCCTTAAGGAAACACAAAACCTTTAATAAAGCAAAATAAGTATGTGTTCCTCAAATGATATAAATGTGCATATTACTATAAGGGTAGTGGGTTAAGGTAAGTAGAGTTGGGTTTCTTGACATTTTTTGCTATAAGATCCTATATTCAACTTTGCAACACTTTAACCATTTGGTTACATTTTTGCATCTGCTGATATATAACTCCTATATAACAGAACACTTCAGAACATTTTATCTGGCATGGTCCAACAGGATCAAAGAAGAGATAGTATGTTACTCTATCCTCTTAGAAATATATTGTTATTGTTATTGTTGTTGTTATTGTTATTGTTATTGTTATTGTTATTGTTTGTTATTATTTACTATTAGGTGATAAATGTGAAGAACAGTTGTTCTGTCTGGATATACATTTATGGAAATAGATCAGGCAGCCCACCTGAGTTTCTACAAGTGGTTTTCTGTCATTGTGAAAACAAAAAGAGGAATAAAAATAAAGAAAGGAAATCTGAGGAATGTGGACAGGCAGTTAAAATTCAGAGAATAAGGATGTGTCTTAACAGGCAGTTTTTGTGCTAACAGGCAGAAACGACATGGGCAACGGGATAAACCAAGCAGCCCCTTCCTAGAAGACAGACTATGACATTGTCCTCAGTGGACAATTAAGAATGGATATAGTATCAATTCTGAGTTTTGAAAAGACAATATTCTAAGGAAGTTTATTGGCTTTTCAAGTGAGAAGTGTAATGATAATGTACTAACAGGTTGCCTATGGTACAATTTTTTCATATGATATGTACACTGAAAATGGTGCTTAACACATCAGGAACTATCAGACTGCAATGCCTGTACTGGTCCCTGATAATCAGGGTAGAATTTGAAAAAGTAATTTAGAAATGAATAGCTTTGTAACTCATTAGCATATATTTTCAACCTATGCTTATTTTTAAGATTTGTGGACTAACCTGGTACTTCTAAAGCAACCTGCATAATTGACAAACCTCTATCAATCAAGAGGCTATGCCTTGATTTCATTACAGCTTCTAACAGGAACTTGAAAAAGACCTGAACATGAAGTGCTCATATGTCATCAGCCAAGTATACAATACCAGTCTAATATTCAATGAAATAAAACAAATATATAATCAATCAAGCAAAAAATGTTACTCAAAGATTTAGGCAGAGGACACTGGAAATGACTTTGTGAGGAAATGAACTATGATTTTGCAGAAGTAATACATGGAAAAAGAAAAGCCTTGTTCTTCAGAAAGCACACACAAACTTTCCCAGTGCCAGCTAGCCATGTATAGAAGCAAAATAAGCTCCTTGCAAGAACACCACACTTTATCTACACTTTATCAACACTTTATCTACAGGTAGAGGTCTACTGAGGGAACCCCTACCAAAGTTTTCAAACTTTTTTATACTGACTTTAAGTACCTAATCTCTTTGCCTTATGTGAAGCATCTTTTATTGAATTGTAATTCATTTGCTTGGAATTGTAATTCATTTGCTTGGAAATAAAGGTTTACCTTTTAGGTATTTCTTCTCTGTACTTTTATATATTTCAAAGAACCTCAAAATAGTCATAGAATCATAGAATATCCCAAGTTGGAAGCGACCCAGAAGAATCATCAAGTCCAGCTCCTAGCTCCACACAGGACCACACAAAAATCATACCATGAGAGCATTGTCCATGTGCTTCTTGAAAGCTTGGCCACATTTCTTGGAACCTGCTCCAGTTACTAACCACCTTCTCAGTGAAGAACCTTTTCCTAGTATCCAGTTCAAGCTTCCCCTTATGAAGCTTCATGTTATTTCCTTGGGTTCTATTGCTGATCACCGGAGAGAAGAGAACAGCACCTCCTTCTCCATCACCCATCATGAAGAAGCTGTAGTTAACAATAAGGTCACCTCTTCATCTCTTTTTCTCTAGTAGAACTCTTCAGATTTTATTTCACTATGGTTATTTTACAGGTTCAGAAAAAAAGGCACACATTCTGGAAATAGGCAAAGATTCTGATTGAAGATAAATGATTTAGAGTCCTGAGACATGAGAATATTATTAATCCAAAACTAGCAAGTTGATCTGTGTTATCATCTGTTTTGGACCTTTAACAGGATGCACTATGTCAAATTATGTCAAACACTGAAATGGAAAAATGGTTTTGTCTGTCAAATGCACCTTAAGTGCCATTATTTTTACTTACTTTCAAATCAGTAAGAAACTGGACATATCATCTCCTGGAGTATTATCGGGGTAGTATAATGGTGCTAAACTCCTGTGCTATTCCTGAAGTATCAGTTGACTGAGAGTAACATCCCAAAGAATTATGCTTGGTCAACAACCTAAGTGTTTATTTTTTTGAAAATATTGTGTGAGGCCACCTTGTCCTTTACTAGCCAACGCGATACTTCCATGATCAATATCTGTTAACACTGAGCTTCTGGTTTCCTAAGCAACAGTAACCAGGTGAAAGCTTTCAAAACCTTCTTCCTACTTGCTTGATGTTTTCATGTAAATTACATATATTTATATATTTATTGTAAAGAACAGAAGTCGGGATGTTGCTGTTTGACTGCACTCATTTTGTAGTTGCAAAAGAGTTGGAGGTTTCAGGATAGAGATACTGAAAATGTTTTCAGTTTTGGTCAATATTAGTGCTTGTTGACCACTCTGATAAAAGTAAATACCCTGACACAAGTCTGAGTGCAAAAACACTGAATTTGGCGTGTTTTTGTTTTTGTTTTTGTTTTCGTTTTGTTTTGTTTTGTTTTGTTTGTTTGTTTTTGTTGGTTTTTTTTTTTTTCAGTTCAATGAAAAATCAAAAGGTACTTTGCAGAAATTGAATACTCCATATGGTTGAATTACCATTACTAAAAAAAGATCTGAGTTAGGTTCCGATCAGTACTGAAGGGATAATCAGGTTTGGATCCTTGCTTTACCTCCCTCAGACAAAGCAGTAAGCTGAAAATAGATCTACTACTACCAAAACTGCCACTCTGTTCTCTAGCCTATAAAAGGAGACACACATTATAATTTGTTCCCATAGTTTGATTTTTATTTTTTCATATTGCAGTTAAGACGAAGTGGATTATTATTTAGTAAGTAAAAAGTAGAGTTTTGCCTTAGTCATAACAAATAGAGAAAATCAATTTTTGGATCAGAGGAAAACATAAACTTTAACTGTAAATATTTGTCTATGTTGCCTAATGCTTTTCCATATTTTTTAAATGTTATTTTTATTTCTTATATTTAATTTATAGCAATTTCAATACAAACAACAAAAAAAGATTGCTCAGAATTGAATGCAAATACTTTCTTTAAACTTTTTAAGACAAAAATATTGACACAAGTGTTTTCAATTTTATAGTGTCACACAAAATATCATGAAGACTGGCTGAGTTTTTTCATTTTATTTGAAAGATTTGGTCTTTGGTCAAGTTTATCAAGTACATCTTTATCAAGTTTATCTTTAAGTATATTTTTATCAAGTTTAACAAGTTTATCTTGTTAACACTGTAAAATTATCAATGAAGAAAAGAACAACTATAAAAGGTTTGAAAGGCTAGAAAATAGAAACAAACATTAAAACTATAAACCAACTCATAATTTTTGATCAGTATATAAGAGATCAGTATGGGTATATATATATATTATCTACAGTGTCAAATGCTTAGGAACTAAAATATGGAGTAATTTTATGTCTGGCTGATCTATTTGTGGTAGATTAAAATCTCAACATGAGCTGGCAATGTGCGCTTGCAGCCCGAAAAGCCTACCATATCCTTGTCTGCAGGACCAGCAGGCCGAAGGAAATGATTATCCCCCTCTACACTGCTCTTAAGAGGCTCCACCTGGAGTACTGCCTTCAGCTCTGTGGCCCACAAGACCTGGTCGACTGGGTCCAGACAGCCACAAGTTGACTGAGTCCAGACGGCCACAGGTTGGTTGGAGTTTTAAGCAATTTGGTCTAGTGGAAGGCGTTACTGCCTATGGCAACAGGGTTGGAACTGGGTTATCTTTAAGGTTGCTTCCAATCCACACCATCCTATGATTTAGGACAGTGGTAGAGATAAACAGAGACATCATTTCTTCTCATTTTGCTCCAAACAAAATTATAAAGAAAACCTCTATTTGTAATCTTTTTGGACAATTTGTCCAAAATGATGAAAATAATTGTTATTTTTGTGGAAGTAAAGAAAAAGGAGATGTGATGAAAGAGTCGAGCACGGTGATTTTGAGTCTGATTTGACCCATCTGAAAATGTAAGAAGGCAAGCATATCCAAAACCCAGACTGTATGTTTGTATCCAAAACCCAGTGTGTTTGGAATGGAGTTTTGTTGTTGTTGTTGTTTTGTTTTTTTTTTTTTTATATAGAAACCCATATGGTGTTGTGCTTTTCATTTGTGGCTAAAACAGTGTTGATAGTACACCAACATTTTGGCTGTTGCTGAGCAGTAATTGCACAGCATCAGGGTTTTCTCTTTCTCCCACTCTGCTCTGCCTTCCTGACTCCCAGAGAGTAGCCTGGGGAGGATACAACAAGAGGTTGGAAGGATACACAGTCAGGGCAGTTTACCCAAACTGACCAAAAGGATATCCCGTACCCTAAGATGTTGTGCACAGAAGTGAAAATTCAGGGAAAGGAGGAGGAAGGGGAGATGTTCACGGTGATAGTGTTTGTCTTCCAAAGAAACTGTTATACATGCTGAGGCACAACTTTCTGCAAAGTGGCTAAGCATCTGTTTGCTAATGCAAAATGGTCAATGAACTCCTCTTTTCTTTGTTGTTGTTTGTTGTTGTTGTTGTTGTTGTTGTTGTTGTTGTTGTTGTTGTTTTTGTTTTGTTCACATAGCTCTTGCTTTTCCTTTAAAACTATCATTATCGTAATCTGTGAGTCTTTGCACCTTGCTTCAATTTTCTCCTGCAGGACAGGGGAGTGAGTGAGCAGCTGAGTCCCTGTTTGACTGTTTTCTGCGGTTAATCCACCACACAGGCAAAACATGTCATTAAAAAGTATTTCTCATATATACTTGCTTCTTACAGAGAGATTGACAGTCTCTGACAAATTGGCTACAGAGACTTGACAAAGTTTCATAAGGAATTAACTATTTAAAGTGGGGAGATATGTTACCTGATTTCTGGCCATAGATCACAGCAATGCTGACATATTTAGAGACAGATTTAATGGGGAATGCTATGCAAATGCTTATTTTACAACTCATTATGGGCCTTGGACACCTAGATCTGAATAGCACATTATGTGCCTCCATGAAATTGGAATCCAGAGCCTGAGTGTCTGAAAGACAGAGCCACTCTAGACAGAGCATGCAACATTTCATATCCAATCATTCTGAAAAATAAGATAATGAATTTTGTCAGTGTGGAGTTCTTTGTTGCAAATGTAAATATTATATGATCTTGGAGGAGTATATTTCACAGTATTGCAATGATGTTACTAATGGAAATTCCACAATGCTTTTGCTTTTTTTAGAAGACGGAACCAAAGGACATAAACGTGTGCATGCTAGGAGCTGAACTGCAGACTTAAAACAAGATGATAACACTGAAGGCTGTGACTTACATTACTGGATTGATGGGAAAGTATATGACTATATAGGAGACTGTATTATCTTCAGAACTTTTCACAAGTAGAAGCAAAATACAAAGAACTGTAGAAAATGTGAGCTCAAGAAACTAATTATGAGATTTAAAACTATAACATCCATGTATTAGGCTGAGGTGGACAGGTCACTTAAGTAGGAGTTTAAGAAGTATACTTTTCTCTCCCCATTAAGATACTTTATAGCATTTATCACATAATCAAAATAAGAATATATTTTGCAAAAGGTGCATGTCCAACACAACTGGCTGACAATGCTATCATATTCATGATTTCCCTTTAGCTTTTAATCAATTATCATATTCATATTTTTAAATGTATGTAGTTTTAAGTTTATATAGACAATTGATTTCATCTACTTCTGCAGTGTGTTTTTTGATCAAAAGTGAATGTATTTTTTAAGTAATCAGAAGATAGAAGATAATTATCAAAATTAGAATGTATGAAGTCTTTGCTATAGAATGTCTGGAAAAAAAAAATTCTTTCTGTGTCCCAGATACTCCTACAATCAATAATTTTAGAAAAAAATAAAAATGAAACATAAGCATTTCTCTCTCTCTCTCTCTTTTTTTTTTTTTTTCCATTTTTGATGTCATTCATGCACTCAATATTTCTCATTATTTATATAAAATAAAAACTCCTGGAGATGAGAAAATAGTCTGTAGATTAAAACTCACAGTTCTGTCACTAGAATCAAATACATTTGACAGGAATTTTGGCAAGATTTTGAAGCTGATAAAAGAGTACGTTTTACATTCTTTTGTGAAAAGTCATGAGGATAAAAAAAATAAAAAGAAGGAAAGGAAAGGAAAGGAAAGGAAAGGAAAGGAAAGGAAAGGAAAGGAAAGGAAAGGAAAGGAAAGGAAAGGAAAGGAAAGGAAAGGAAAGGAAAGGAAAGGAAAGGAAAGGAAAGGAAAGGAAAGGAAAGGAAAGGAAAGGAAAGGAAAAAGGAAAAAGAAATGAAGAATACTGAAATTTACCTTAAATTGATATTGTCATTAATGGTCTTCACCACCAAGAAAACTTGTATTACAATCATGCTTCCAAGTACTTAATAAGTCTTACTGAAAAAGTTTAATGTGAGTGCCTTTTCAGCTGGGCTAGCAGTCCTTAAATGATTGAATGAAGATTTAATTATAAATAGTCTCCTTGTACTGCCTGCACAGGTGACACAACAAGAATTAAAGGTTGCCATGTAAAGCTGTTCCCCACAGATGTGTCTTCCCAGAGTCAAAATGTGATCAGAAGAGAAAGATCTGTTTTAATTTCCAGAAATAAATTCATTTCATTATGTCCTTGTAAATAATAATAATAATAGTAATAATAATAATAAACAGTAGTAGTAGTAGTAGTTATAAACCATTGTTTATGTACTATTCAGAATTTCTGGTTGATTGGAGCAACACTGTGGACTTCTATCTTAGGGAATTCGCCTTTACAGAGTAAATTTATTTATTTATTTATCATTTTTGAAAAGGAAGAAAACTTCACAAATTATAGAAGAGATATACTTGTTTTTTAAGATACGGGTCAACATCAACAAGAAAATTTACTTGTTGTTCCCAGTCACAGAGGAAAGATTCTTATGCACATTCTACATATCTGGTAGCAGGGCAGTGTGGTTTGCATCTAAATGTGTGAAATTCTGTTTCATGTTTTGCAATTATTGGTCACACAGGAGAATCTCTTCAGAATTGTACACTGGGGTTTGGTTGAACATTGGGCCCTTTGAGATGTTACCAAAGTGATAGGGGAAGTTATTAAGGGCTTCATACATTGTCAGACAATACTTTACTCATAAAAGAAAGACCGTTAAAGTTAGAATGTAATTAAATTTATTTTTTTTTATGAAATGACAACAAAAACTCAATTCCACAGAGTAAAGAGCTGCACATTATTTGTATATTAAATACTGCAACTGCCAAAAGTGTTAAAAAGAAAATCTTAGAAGGATTCTACAACTGAAATTGTTAAGGACATGGTTTAAACCAAAGGTACTTTTTTAAAAAATATCTAAATTAAGTTCTAGTTAATTAATGGCTATTAATAAGAAAGTGTTGTTGTTGTTGTTTTCTTGTTTGTTTATTTGTTTGTTCCCCTTAAAGGCAGAGAATGTAGAGTTAGAAACTGTATTTTTTTCTGTGTAAGAACTCAGCCTGATATTTTTATTAGGCCTGAAAAGCTGATATTGGCTGTAGTGTATCTTCAAGAGGACAACGTAGTAAATCTTTAGTTGAAGTAAACTTTTAGTGAAATTTGTTGTGAGTCAGCACTTTTCTGATAGACATCTCTGTTGCTTTGTCATCTGTTCAAAGTCTAATAAAAATATTTTCATTTCACTTCGTGAACCCAAGTGCAAGCTAGGGAAGAGTGCTATAGAAGCTGGGATTTCTGTGTAGTCTTATTATACAAGTTTTGACAACAGTTGGTGTAATCATGTCTTCTGTACTCTCCATGATTTTTACCTTTTATGCCACTGGGATTATAGCCCTCCATGGAGGGTATGACACCTGACACAAAGGAATCATGACATAAGGCAAGGCTGAATATCAAGATACCAATAGTGTCTGCCAACCTCTAAGTGGTTATATATCTCCAAGAACATCAGGAAGGATTTGGGATAAATGCAAAGAAAGAAGTCATGACAGTGCTGTGGGAGCAGTATGCTTGGCTTTTTGAAAATATACCCCAAAATGTGTGCGTTTTTGATATTTAATGAGTATACAGAACTGTGTTGTATAAATTAGGAATGATAAAGAAATGGCTAGTAATGGCGTAAGTGCTCAATGAGAGATCTAGGCATGAATATGATAATACTACTGTTGAAATTCCAACCAGCCAATTGGAAAATGGATTTTGAAAAACAGCATTCTGTCTGTGATAATTGCAGTTTAAATCCTTAATGCTCCAGGAAAATTCATACTTCATTAAATTAAGTGCTCTATAGAAGCAGACTTCAGAAGCCCAAGCTGTATGAAAAATAAGCAAAGTGGAGACTGGACATAAATATGGGAGTTTCCAAACGCTGTCACAATGGGGAAATGAAAAACAAGTGCAATTGTCAAACTCTCTACAAACCCAATTCTGGCTGCATGAATTACCTGAACATTCAAGGACAGCACACAAACTTTCTGAAAAGTCTGTCTCCTGTGTAATATCTGTTTGCACACAACCGCTGATTGTGATGGCTGTTTTTTGTTTTTTTTTTTTCACATTTTCTCAACATCAAATCCTTTCTAATACTGATACTCAAATGAAAATAATTCAGTTTTAATAAGTATAATGAACATATATGAATGAACTGAACAGTTTTCGGTTTGAGGATTATAGTTTCAGGCTCTACAGACTCACATAGTGAAAAAAAAATGGTTTGCCTATTTGCCTTTGTAGAAATAAAAATGAGAAAGTGCATGTTTATTTTCTGGTTTCTTCTTTTTGGATGTTATTCCAAATATTGTCTTAGGCTGAAGAGTACAAGATGTCAGGTTCAGAAAATTAGCTGCTTTTTGCACAGGTGGTAGTCTCCCCAATATCACGTCAAATCCTCAACTTCTGTTATCTGCTTCTGCCCAGACTTTGTATTTTTATTTTAAATTCTACTTATTCTTTATTATTTATTTATTTATTTATTTTAAGCAGATATGCCATGATGGGGTCTATTTACAAACTGTAACTCAGAGCTTTTTTAGTTTGAAAACTCTACCCGCTATTTAATTCCTTCTCCTTTAAACCACATCAAACCTATTAGTCTAAAAAAGCACTAATTAAAATTCCTTGTGTCTTCAATCAGGCTAGGATATTTTGAATAACGTTTTTCTATGGATTGCTTATAAATTAGTTTATTTCCTGTCAAAACTTTGACTCTTTTTTTTATGTCTTCAGGCATAGTCCATACAGGCAAGACCATATCTTACTAAGACTGCATTAATCTTTTAAAAATATATGGTTTGAGTTATTAAAGAAATATGTATGTGCTACATGTGTGGGGAAAAAAAAAAAAAAAGTATTTGAGAAACACTTGGGAGAAGTATAATTTATCTTTTTATTATATGTCTACAAGTTAGATATCCACATCTGAGCTACTTCTCTGAAGTCGTCTCTTTATAGTCAACACACACACATACACAAAGGCACTTTTGAGATGTTACTCCTCTTATCATGATGAAGACATTTAAACTGGGTCAGATTAATTACACCTTAAAAGTTCCTGTTTCTCAATATGGATAATAAAAGGAGTCTAGACTGCTGGCTCAGAGTTAAATGTCTACAAATGTCTAAATTTAGGCACCAGTGTGACATATACACAAAAAGGAGGACTAAGGAGAATCACCATCCTTTACTGGATGTGGGGGGAAACTTAGTGACAAGAGATGAGGAAAAGGATGAGGTGCTTAATGCCTTCTTTGGCTCAGTCTTTAACGGCAAGACCAGTTGTTCTCTAGATACCCAGTACCATGAACTGTTGAAAGGGGATGGGAAGCAGGATGTGGCACTCACAATCCACGAGGAAATGTTTGGCAACATCCTACAGCACTTAGACGTACACAAGTTGATGGGGCCAGACGGGACCCACCCGAGGGTACTGCGAGAACTGGCGGAAGAACTGGCCAAATCGCTTTCCATCATTTATCAGCAAGCCTGGCTATTGGGGGAGGTCCCAGTCAACTGGTGACTAACAAATGTGACACCCATCTACAAGAAGGGCCAGGAGGCAGACCTGGGCAACTTTAGGCCTGTTAGTTTGACATCAGTGCCAGGGAAGCTCACAGAGCAGATTATCTTGAGCGTCATCATGCAGGGCAAGCAGGCGATCAGGCCCAGTCAGTGTGGGTTTATGAAAGGCAAGTCCTACTTGACAAACCTGATCTCCTTCTATGAAAAAGTGACGCGCTTGGTGGACGAGGGAAAAGCTGTGGATGTGGTCTACCTTGACTTCAGCAAGGCTTTTGACACCGTTTCCCACAGCATTCTCCTCAAGAAACTGGCTGCTTTTTGCTTGGACCGGTGTATGTTTCATTGGGTTAGAAACTGGCTGGGTAGCCAGGCCCAAAGAGTTGTGGTAAATGGAGTTAAATCCAGTTGGAGGCTGGTCACTAGTGGCATCCCCCAGGGCTCAGTACGAGGGTAAGTTCTCTTTAATATATTTATCGATATAAATGTATATTTCTAATAACTGAAAATGTTTACTAATGACCAAAATGTACAAACAACCTTGAGAATTTTTTTTTTATTATGAAATGTCTGTAGCATATGAAAAGTCCTGAATGAAAACACAATGCTGTCAACCTTGGGTGAAAAGAAACAATCACAGTTATACAAGTATTCAAAATATGCTTTCTGCAAAATATGATTTCTGAAGATGACAATGTTGCTGAGCAAAAGGTTTACATATTGATGAAACCAAAGTAAGCAGAGAAAACCTGTCATATAAAGGACAATAGTTTAAGAAGACCAGAGACATGCAGTTTATGTGATTATAATACATAATCCAGATAACAAAATAAAATGTTTGATTAAATGATAAGAAACTCATCTGCACATACAT